CGAGGACGCTCCGTAGTCGCCGTCTAGATCCTTCGGACACTGGAAACCCAACTCATGGGCCAACTGCCATTGACCCTTGTCTCCCAGGATCAGCAGCTGTCGTTTCGTGAGTCTGGAGTGGTGCAACAGGAAACCAAACATAGTCCTCTCCTCTTTCGTCCTCTGCAGTGGTTGCCACACTCGCTCTGGGTCATTCTAAGTCCCTGTGTCTGACTTCATGAGCGCTTGGACTCGTGGAAGCTGTCACAAAAGGCTGCAGGCCAGTTGGCCGGCTAACGGGTTGAGGAGGGCTCAAAGGACGGTGGACCAACACACATCGTTCCTCCCTCCATACACCTCAACACAAGCCTCTATGCTGTCAAAAGTTACTGGAACAGTTCCAGGGTTTCGCAGGTGGCGATGCGGCCACGGTCTCCGCTGCTGGGTCGGTGTCAGTCCCAGTGCGTGCTCCCTGGGGTTCTAGGAACTGTACGAGCTTCGTATCACCGCCAGTAGGATCTGCTCTGCACTGATCCTTGCCGGATGACCCTCATGCCAGAAGTGGGGCTTGTGATCCACTTGACCTGCAACGAGTGCTGGGAGCGAAACAGGCCAGCGAGTGTCATACGTTAGCCACTCTATATCGGTGGCGTGTCCTCCACTCCACGAGGCTTGTCGAGTGAAGAAACTAGCCTCTTCTAGATCAAGCAGGTCGGATCCAAACTCCACGACCAGACGTCCCAACCATACATCCAAGGTCTCATCGGGCCTAATCTTCGACTCTTTACACAGTTCCTGTAGCTCAGTCCAGGTTCTAGTGTGATGGGTAGTGTGGATTGTCTCCCACACTCGGCTGCTTGCTGCTGCAGAACATGTAGCCACTGTTGAGGCCGCTGCTGAATCTGTGGAGAGGGGCGGATGTCCTCTGCTCACTGCCCCCTCCCTGTGGAAAGGAGGCGGGACTGCCAGAAGCGACGTCGTGTCGGTGGGCGGGGTTGCTGGACAGGTTCCTGCCGATTCTCCCGAAGCTCCTCCCTTCTCTTCCGGTTCCAGGCAGCTCGCTCCTTCCTTGGCGTCATCTTGAAGTGGCGTCGACTCGGGACTTCTCTCCTCTGCCGCTTCTCGTGCCGCCGGAACAGCCGCGAGCAGTCGGGGTTTCAGGTCTGCATTCCTCCGCAGCAAAGTTGACACAGCACGAAGCAACACATCCAATACTCTCTCTCTTTTATCCCTCGGGGCTACACTCGTATGGCCTCTCAACCCGAGCGCCAGTGGGGGGCTAAACTGGTCAGCTGTCGTCGGCTCTTCACCCTCCTGTGCGAGCTGCATGCAGCGAGTGAACTCCTGGCTGAAAGCCGGGTTCATGTTGCCCGATTCCCATCTGGCGAGGGGTGCGGTGTTCCCTCTCTCCCGGGGCCTGAACTGGACTCTCTCGCTGCCCATCACACACCCGAATGCCTCGGGGTGCAGATGTGCCTCCCATACTTCCGATACCTCTTCTCCTTTTTCCTTCAGTGAAAGGTAACCGTCGATAAACCTTTCACCCACTCCGCCCGCCTGGTGATACGCGATGTGGGCGCCTAGTTCCTCGGAGCTGGCCACATGGTGTCTCCCGCTACGCCAGGGGCAAATTCTCACTAGATGGTGTCTCCCGCTAAGCCAGGGGCAACTTCTCACTAGCTCCTGCTCCATTAGATCTTCCCCAAATCCTGACTCCGATCCTGTTGATCCTAATCCCGATCCCGCTGATCCTGTTCGTGACGCCATGTGGGGGCCAAGGGGGGATCGAGGATCAGGAGTCCTCGGGAATGCTAGCTGGGGTTGTGGCTGCAATCCCATGACAGGTAGATGGGTATTCTCTATCACTGGAGCGGAATTAGGCACAAACGAGACACGTATCAATCGGAAAAACAGAGGTAGCTTTACTTACACTGTAGAGTCGTATACAGCGCAGGCAATCGTAGTTGCAACAATTCTATTCTCTAATCGGTAATCGAGGAGCTCTTGTAGAC